AGTTGCTGGATATCAAATCCTTGCAAATGGTCGTATCGTATATTCTCAAGACAACGCAAGAGAAGAAGCATATATAACTTCAAACTCACAAACTACCGAACAATAAAGAAAGTAGATGTTTTCTCAAAGACTCGACATGAAGATGTATGGAGTCATTCGGGAACATGCAGAACAGGACAAATTATTAGTGGTCCAATTACAGCAGGAAAATCATTTGATTTTAAGCTTCGTTTAAGAATTCCTGTTAGAAGATTCCTTCCATTAGAAGCTATTCGATTTATTCCAGCTTTTGCAGGAAACATTCAGCTTAAAGTAAAGTTCAGTAGCGACGCCTTACAATGCACATCTATATCTGTAAATGATATCATTGCTTTCAATCCAACTCTTAAAGTTGCATTTGCTTCAGATTCAAATCCACCGACAAATAAATTTGTTCCATGGAATGAACCATTCACTATGATAACGAAGGCAATAGAAGCTAGTGGAACAGTTACTATTACAACTGTAACCCAGCAACTATTTCGAATAAAGATGGATTTTAATGAATGTTTCATTCATCCAAAATCATTCTCTTTAGACCCTAACATTTATACAGAACTTGTAGAACATTATACAAACGAGGCTTTATGTTTTCCTGTTAAAGTTATGGATTGGATTCCTATGGACGGTTCATTCTCAAAGAATACAGATAGTTCAAGTGCAACATTTACAGCAGCTTATACGCCTATTAATGTTAAAAGTATTTGGGCACTATTTAGAAAGAAAGACAACTATTATGTTAATTTTGAGAACCCTAAGTTTAAATATCTTCAGCTTTCCATGGGAGCTTATGGAAATATGCCTGCAGAACCTGAAAAATCATATGGACCTGTATTTTATGAAATGGTTGCGAACGCTTGCAATACAAACAATGATATGATTGGATTTAATGAAGATGTTATGAGGTCATTGGTGGATGATGGTAGTGTGGAACATAAATGGGATAGCTATGACAACACACATTTCTTATGTGGTTTTCCAACAGAAGTGGACTTTTGCTTCCAGCAAGGTCAAACATCTACTGCTCCAATAACATACAAATTGTCTGTTAAAGGACCTATTGAACTAGCAACTGAAAACGTACCAAAGCCACTTATTGGATTTATGAGGGATTGTTGCTTTGCCATTCAGGTGCGTGCTAATGGCATCCCCATAATAAGATTAGATGACTATAACTTAGCTACGGACGACAGTGAGGAATAAAGGATGAACGTTTATTTTTAAAGCTTATAAATGAGTTCTTCATCAAGCTCTCGTGAACCTTCACCATCTATGAAACAAACTTTACCAAACGATTATGGAGCACCTATTGAATATTTCTTACGAGCTGCACAATGGCAAAGAGCAGTATCACCAAGGTTAGGTGTTCCACCAGCTCCTGTCAAAAATAGCATTTGGTCAAGTCCTTATATAAGATATGGTCTCCCACTAGGTTTGCTAGCTACAACAGGAGCAGTTATGATGTTGAAAAGAAATAAAGCAAATGTTGTAAATAATACTGAAGTAGCTGAAGTTAAACAAACTCCAACACCTTCACAAGCAAAACCTTCAATGACTCCTGAACCTATGGAAGTACAAACTCCTATTCAAAAGTCAACTCCTAAACCGACTCCAACATTTAAACCAGAACCTACTCCTCAAATAAATCGTAAAACTCCTGCGTTTCCTTACTGAAAAAATAACGTTATTTTTATTTAATATTAAAATTTTTATTTGATTGAAATGACGACTAAAGTCACTGAAGCAATGAAACAAAGTTTTTGGTAGAATACATTAAATCAGGAACTATTCCAGAAGGTTTTTACATTCATACTATGAAGGATGGTAGAGTTCAGTTTAGAAAGATAAAGCAACCATTAGATAAAGAAGGAATTTTGAGAAAGATTAAACTTCATGAGGACAACATTGCTGAACTTAAGAAGAAGTTAGAAGAGTTGGAGAAAGGAAGAGAGTTATAAAGCAATGAATTCAACAGGGTGAAAAAACAGGTGAAAAAAGAGGTGAGATCTCACCACTTCACCTAAATTTATTTTTGTGCTATGTTTTCATACGTGTGAGGGTGGTGATATCATTTATTTTTAAGTTTATTTTTATATAAATGACGAAAACTATTGAGATAACAAACTACAACGGTCATGAGTTCAAGAACTTGTTCTTCGTTCCTCGTGAAAATACATTCTATCAGATACGAGGGAGAAAGGGTAAAGTTAGTTTGAGCGTTTATGACTACAAGCATAATGGAAAGTTTATACAAGCATACGATACAAACGGTAAGCGTGTTTCATTAGCTTTGTCAAAACTTACAGGTATAAACTATGACAGTGATTTTGACCTATATGAAGAAGAAAGTGAGTCAGAAGATTATGAGCTGTTATATGAAGCACAGCAATGGGAGGAGTTGCAATACTTTTGTAAGTGAGAACGTTTATTTTTACATTAGTGAAGTCGTTTGTGAAAACATTAGTGAAGTCGTTAGTGGAGTCGTTTATGTGTCAGACGGTTTTGTAAATATTTAAGGTTAAGTTAGTGTTGTCGTTTGTGTTGTAAAATATACGTTAACGGTTTCGTAAAGTGTCAAATTCACATAACAGGGGTACGGTGGAACGCAGTGCCGTCGTACCCATGATATGTATACTAACTAACTATTGATATGCTCCGACGCTCTACCTGTGACGCAAACCATATTCGCCAATTTTTCCTCTCCAAGCATAGATACTTTGCCCGCAGGAAGAAGTTTATTGCGAATATGGACGAGACAATGCTCTATTCCAAACGTCGCTATAAAGTTCTTACTGCTGGCCGGAATCGCCCAGTTCGCGCTGAAAAGTCTCAGCTTCCACATCTTACAGGGGTCTGTACCATTTTTGCAGATGGTACAACTATGAAGCCAATGGTGATACTTCCACAAAAGAAGACCCTTGATGCGGAATTGGAAGATCTGGACGCCTTTTTTGTTCGCTCCGAGAGTGGATGGATGAACAAATACCTTTTTATGGTATACTGTATCATGTTCATCTGCAAAGTACAGGAGGAAAGGTCTCAAATGAATGTGTTTGATGCCCAGGTACCTTTTCTCCTAATTGTAGATGGTCATCCATTCAGGCTCTCTTTTTTGGCCGTTCGCCTCTTGAGCGCCTTCAATATCGAGCTTCTTGTTCTCCCAGGCCATACATCTCATATCTTACAACCTCTTGATGTTGGGATTTTTTCTCCCTTGAAGGCCCAATTCAAGAAGTTGTTTGATATGGCGACTATCCGGTACGATCAGCAAGGGCATATGGTGATCAATTATGTATGGAACGCCAGAGAACTGCGCTATATCATGATTCGCAGCTTCCTTGATGCATGTAGTGTGTCTTGCACAGCTACAAACATCGAAAATGCTTTTAAAGCAACAGGAATCTATCCATTGGATATGAACAAACCTCTTGCTTCCAGATACATTGTAGCAAATGGAGTTCCTCCTGCAAGGCCCAATTTTGTCAACGACAAAGTCCTTACAGATCCAAATGTGATGATGCAAGTCTTCCAAATGGAATATGGACGCCCCATGCAGCAACAGGATTGGTATTTCAATCTGTTTGTGGCTATGCAATCTGTTTTGGCCTGGAATGGAGCATATGGCCAGGTTCTTAGTCGTGAGTTACATCTCCTTTATCCTACTGCAGGTGGATTTCAAAAAATCCAATTAAAATGATATAAAGCTGAGGAGCTCCAGGGTGAAGAGGAATTGATGAAGAAAAGAAGCAGCTGCATAATGGAGTGAGGAAGCATCTTGATGAAGAGAGGAAGCACCTTGATCAGAAGAGAGGAAGTACTTTGAAGAAGAGAGGAAGCACTTTGTTGAAGAGAGGAAGCTGCATTTGAGAAGAGAGGAAGCACCTTGATCAGAAGAGAAGCACTTTGAAGAAGAGAGGAAGCTGCTGATGAAGAGAGGAAGCACTTGATCAAGAGAGGAAGTACTTTGAAGAAGAGAGGAAGCTTGCATTGAAAGAGAGGAAGCACTTTGATGAAGAGAGGAAGCACTTGATGAAGAGAGGAAGTACTTTGTTGAAGAGAGGAAGCACTTGATGAAGAGAGGAAGTACTTTGAAGAAGAAGGAAGCACTTTGTTGAAGAGAGGAAGCATTTGATCAAGAGAGGAAGTACTTTGAAAGAGAGGAAGCACTTGTTGAAGAGAGGAAGCATCTTGATCAAGAGAGGAAGCACTTGATCAAGAGAGGAAGCACTTTGATGAAGAGAGGAAGCACTTTGAAGAAGAGAGGAAGCTGCATGATGAAGAGAGGAAGCACTTGATCAAGAGAGGAAGTACTTTGAAAAGAGAGGAATCACTTTGTTGAAGAGAGGAAGCATCTTGAGCAAGAGAGGAAGCATCTTGATGAAGAGAGGAAGCATCTTGATCAAGAGAGGAAGCACTTTGATGAAGAGAGGAAGCATCTTGATCAAGAGAGGAAGCACCTTGATCAAGAGAGGAAGCATCTTGATCAAGAGAGGAAGCATCTTGATCAAGAGAGGAAGCACTTTGATGAAGAGAGGAAGCATCTTGATGAAGAGAGGAAGCACCTTGATCAAGAGAGGAAGTACTTTGAACAAGAGAGGAATCACTTTGTTGAAGAGAGGAAGCATCTTGATCAAGAGAGGAAGCATCTTGATCAAGAGAGGAAGCATCTTGATCAAGAGAGGAAGCACCTTGATCAAGAGAGGAAGCATCTTGATGAAGAGAGGAAGCACTTTGAAGAAGAGAGGAAGCTGCATGATGAAGAGAGGAAGCACCTTGATCAAGAGAGGAAGTACTTTGAACAAGAGAGGAAGCACTTTGTTGAAGAGAGGAAGCATCTTGATCAAGAGAGGAAGTACTTTGTTGAAGAGAGGAAGCACTTTGTTGAAGAGAGGAAGCTGCATCTTGAGCAAGAGAGGAAGCATTTGATGAAGAGAGGAAGCATTTGATGGGAAGAGAGGAAGCTACTTTGTTGAAGAGAGGAAGCACTTGATCAAGAGAGGAAGCACTTTGATGAATAGAGGAAGCACCTTGATCAAGAGAGGAAGCATCTTGATGAATAGAGGAAGCACCTTGATCAAGAGAGGAAGCATCTTGATGAAGAGGGGAAGTACTTTGTTGAAGAGAGGAAGCATCTTGATCAAGAGAGGAAGTACTTTGAAGAAGAGAGGAAGCATCTTGATCAAGAGAGGAAGCTGCATCTTGAGCAAGAGAGGAAGCACTTTGAAGAAGAGAGGAAGCATCTTGATGAAGAGAGTAAGCATCTTGATCAAGAGAGGAAGCACTTTGTTGAAGAGAGGAAGCTGCATCTTGAGCAAGAGAGGAAGCACTTTGAAGAAGAGAGGAAGCTGCATGATGAAGAGAAGAAGCACCTTGATCAAGAGAGGAAGTACTTTGAACAAGAGAGGAAGCACTTTGTTGAAGAGAGGAAGCACCTTGATCAAGAGAGGAAGCACTTTGATGAATAGAGGAAGCACCTTGATCAAGAGAGGAAGCACCTTGATCAAGAGAGGAAGCATCTTGATGAAGAGAGGAAGCACTTTGAAGAAGAGAGGAAGCATGTTGATCAAGAGAGGAAGTACTTTGTTGAAGAGAGGAAGCATCTTGATCAAGAGAGGAAGCACTTTGTTGAAGAGAGGAAGCTGCATCTTGAGCAAGAGAGGAAGCATCTTGATGAAGAGAGGAAGCATCTTGATCAAGAGAGGAAGTACTTTGTTGAAGAGAGGAAGCACCTTGATCAAGAGAGGAAGTACTTTGTTGAAGAGAGGAAGCAGTTTGTTGAAGAGAGGAAGCACTTTGATGAATAGAGGAAGCACCTTGATCAAGAGAGGAAGCACTTTGATGAATAGAGGAAGCACCTTGATCAAGAGAGGAAGCATCTTGATGAAGAGAGGAAGCATCTTGATCAAGAGAGGAAGCACCTTGATCAAGAGAGGAAGCATCTTGATGAAGAGAGGAAGCACTTTGAAGAAGAGAGGAAGCTGCATGATGAAGAGAGGAAGCACCTTGATGAAGAGAGGAAGCATCTTGATCAAGAGAGGAAGTACTTTGTTGAAGAGAGGAAGCATCTTGATCAAGAGAGGAAGTACTTTGTTGAAGAGAGGAAGCATGTTGATCAAGAGAGGAAGCACTTTGATGAATAGAGGAAGCACCTTGATCAAGAGAGGAAGCACTTTGATGAATAGAGGAAGCATCTTGATCAAGAGAGGAAGCATCTTGATGAAGAGAGGAAGCATCTTGATCAAGAGAGGAAGTACTTTGTTGAAGAGAGGAAGCATCTTGATCAAGAGAGGAAGCATCTTGATCAAGAGAGGAAGTACTTTGTTGAAGAAAGGAAGCATCTTGATCAAGAGAGGAAGCATCTTGATGAAGAGAGGAAGCATCTTGATCAAGAGAGGAAGTACTTTGTTGAAGAGAGGAAGCATCTTGATCAAGAGAGGAAGTACTTTGTTGAAGAGAGGAAGCATCTTGATGAAGAGAGGAAGCATCTTGATCAAGAGAGGAAGTACTTTGTTGAAGAAAGGAAGCATCTTGATCAAGAGAGGAAGCACCTTGATCAAGAGAGGAAGCATCTTGATCAAGAGAGGAAGCACTTTGTTGAAGAGAGGAAGCTGCATCTTGAGCAAGAGAGGAAGCACTTTGATGAAGAGAGGAAGCATCTTGATCAAGAGAGGAAGTACTTTGTTGAAGAGAGGAAGCACCTTGATCAAGAGAGGAAGTACTTTGTTGAAGAGAGGAAGCAGTTTGTTGAAGAGAGGAAGCACTTTGATGAATAGAGGAAGCACCTTGATCAAGAGAGGAAGCACTTTGATGAATAGAGGAAGCACCTTGATCAAGAGAGGAAGCATCTTGATGAAGAGAGGAAGCGTCTTGATCAAGAGAGGAAGTACTTTGAAGAAGAGAGGAAGTACTTTGTTGAAGAGAGGAAGCACCTTGATCAAGAGAGGAAGCATCTTGATCAAGAGAGGAAGCTGCATGATGGAGTGAGGAAGCATCTTGATCAAGAGAGGAAGTACTTTGAACAAGAGAGGAAGCATCTTGATGAAGAGAGTAAGCTGCATGATGGATGCATGATGGAGTGAGGAAACATCTTGATGAAGAGAGGAAGCGTAAGAACCGATAACATTTACAAAATATTAAATTTATTTTGTAAATTTTCCAAAAGCCTTAGTACCAATGTAATATAAATGCTCCAAAAATACCATCCCTCCTTCCAAAAGCGTAAGAACCGATAACATTTACAAAATATTAAATTTATTTTGTAAATTTTCCAAAAGCCTTAGTACCAATGTAATATAAATGCTCCAAAAATACCATCCCTCCTTCCAAAAGCGTAAGAACCGATAACATTTACAAAATATTAAATTTATTTTGTAAATTTTCCAAAAGCCTTAGTACCAATGTAATATAAATGCACTAAAAACCCAACTGCCAATAGCATGTATTCAAAAAATGCAATTCAATACAAATTTGATTGCATTTTTTGAGATGGAAGTGTATCTGAATTCACAATTGTAATCCACGAATACACTTCCATCTCATTGATAAGAGGCTAATGTTTTTCTCATTAATAAGGCGCTGTTGGCCTCTATCCATAGCCGAAGTGATATTAACGTATGTTAACGTACAAAGTAAAAACATGTTTTTTCTTTTTAAAATTATTTAGTAATTAATAATATTTAGCACTCATAGTAAAAACATTAAAATTTATAAGAATCGTTATGAAGAAAAATTGAGAACTTATGATTTTTATTTAAGAAAATGATTAAATAATATATAAATAACCATATAAACAACATTTTAGATTCCTCTGAAAAGGGTATCTCAAATTGGTCTATGACCAATTGAATGGTTCGCCGGTTATTCAAGGTACGGTATTAAGAATATTTTGTGAATAATAACAATCATGATGTAAAATATAGATTAACTAATTCCAATATATCCATTTTTATTTGAATAATGAACAAATTAATGCTTTTATAACATAATTTCTCTCAATTAGTAAAATGAATCTGATTTTTTTTTCAATGTAATAAATTTACTTGTTATTATGTTTGATTTTTTTTAAAAAAAATACCAAGAGAAAAATTTTAAATAATCGTTTTGTTTACCAAAAGTGATGTGGACGGTTCAAATTGAGAGGGAGACAAAGGTATCGCACTTATCAGATCTGCAACGTTAAAAAGATAGAGTCGGGAGTCATTAAAATCTTTAAATATAAAAGTTTCAACCTCCTAGCATATTTGTCAGCATATTATCAAAAATGATCAAATCAGCAGTTTGACATTCAATTTCAATTCATTTTCAGGTTTAATCAGATTCAAATCCTCATAGAATTTGTTTGATCCGATTATTTTGATTAGATTTTGTTCTCCATTTATTTACTATTATAATAAGAATATCAATAATGTTAGATAATTTATCTGCAATAATCATTAATCTAAATAGGATTTTTATAAAAACAGATGCTTATCTATTTCATACAAGATCCATTCAAAATTACGCTAAACAATAATTTCGATTATTATATTGAAAAGATTTTCATAATTATAGAAGTCTTTTCTCGAGGATAAGCATGATAGAACATGAATTTGGCAAATATTTTAATATAAATAGATTCAATTCAAGATATTTTCATTCATTTCTAATTATTGATAACTTGACATGTTAGTTGTCATTTCCTATTAATTACAATAATAAATATTGAACAAGAAAAATAAATTTTTGAAATAACATTCATTTTTGAAGTACACCGCATCAATTAATTGATAGTGTTAACCAATGAATCCCTTAACTTAGAAGAAGCTTATTCAAAAGTTTAAAATTATCCCCAATATAACACAATAAGAAAATAATTTAACATGAAAGATAATTGTCATCCACTAAGTCTTTAAACACTTAGTGCTTGATATCTAATATGAAAATAATTTTGAAATTCTGAATAAACTTTGGGTTTTGAATTGGTTCAGAAGGATACCCTGCAATAATCTCTGCTATGGTATGATTGTATCGACTATGAATCTAATTATCAAGATATAAATTGATGAATTGAACAGTTTATTCATTGATTTCCTAATATTTTTACTATATGAAGCCAATTAGGAATATGTGTTTGCATTTCTGAGATCAGATTTATTTTTGATGATTATCAACGATAATTATACGTTAAAATGTCCGACGCTCCTCCACAGCAAAAAGAAGAAGGAGCCGATCCATCGCAATTAAGTGTATTCGTTCATCACGCTAATTCTTATATTGGCCGTCATGTCGTTTCTGCACTTTTAAACGCAAAATATTCAGTTTATGGTGATCGCAAGCCAATTAGGAAATTTGCAGCACCAAATGTTTCACCAATTCCAAAGTATGAAATTGTCAATAGCATTGATGATGCATTTGCTTTATGTAACACTTTCATTTTCGATATTCGCGAAGACCCTTCACTTGCCGTTCAATCTTTCTCAAGATTTGAAGCCGCAACAACAAACATCAAGATCGTACTCATTTCAACTCTCATGACCTGGGCGTTGACAAATTCGACAACAACTTTAACAGGCGATGATTTCCGTAAGAGAAAACCACATCCAAACTTCCGTGCTCAATACGAAGCTGAATTACGTGCTACAAAACTCAGCCGTGAAAACCCACTTGTAGAAGTTTATGTTCTTGCTTGCGGAGTTCCTTATGGTGACGGCGAAGATCTCCTCTTCCCATTCTTCAAGTTCGCTTGGAACAACAAGAACGTTGAACAAGGCGGATTTGCCGAAGTTCAAAAAAAACTTCCAGTTATTGGAGATGGACAAAACATTGTTCCTATGATACATGTTCGTGATCTTGCCGCATTGTTGGTATCAACACTACAAGGACAGATGATTGATAAGTTCGTTATGGCTGTTGATAAAGCAAATTCAAAACTTAAAGATATTATCGAAGGAATTTCAAAGTTATTCTCAGACGGCGAAGTTGAAACAATACAGATCGACCAGGCTCTTACTGTTCCGTGGATCTCTGAAACAGCAATTGACTATTTAACAGCAGATATTCAAGCAATTAACGAATTACTTGCAAGAGTACCAATGACATGCGCAGGAGGATTCTTACAATCTCTTGAAGATATCGGCAAAGAGTTTCTTGAATCAAGAAACGTTAAACCAACAAGAATTCTCGTTTGCGGTCCACCTCTTTCAGGAAAGTCTACTTTATGCGCCAAAATCTCATACAAATACGCATTGCCACTCATTTCTGTTGACAGTCTTGTCTCAGAAGCAAAGAAAAACGTTAATGGATACTGGAATCAGTTTACTCAACAGTTACAAGGCGAAATATCACCTCCTTTACTCTTAGACCTCATGAAATGGAAGCTCCAAGACGTTCCATGCAAGAATCAAGGTTTCATTTTGGATGGTATCCCATCTAACAGCGATTTTGCAGAAGCTCTATGGCAGGACTCCACCAATTCACCACAGTATTTCATTGAGCTTGAAGGAAGTGACACTTTCCTCAGAAATCGTGCAAAACAAGATCCATCAATGATGCTTGGCATTGGAAACACAGATGAGTTCGAAGCAAGGCTCTCCCAGTACCGTGCAACAAATGGCGCTGATGAATCCCACCTCTATTTCGCTTTCGATTCCAACACAATGAAAGCAATTACAATTCCGATAGAAAAAGTGACAGATCCAGTTGATGTTGCAATTAAATTCATCGGAACACCACGTAATTTTGGCAAACCACCTTCACTTATTCTTCGTGACAGTGAAGAGCAAGAGAAGCAGCGCCGTCTTAAGCAGGAAAGACTTGCAAAGATGGAAGCACAACTCAGAGAAGCGGAAGAATCCAAAAAGAGAGAAAAAGAACTCGCAATCTTGAAACAACAGGAAATGGTGGAGCACGAAGAGACAAGGTTGCTTGCAAAGTACTCAAAGACACAGCGCGAATGGCTTGTTCAGACAATCGCACCTGCTTTGGCTGGAGGACTTTGCTACTTGATCGAAGAGATGCCTGATGATCCAATACAGATGTTGGGATGCTACATTGGAGAAACTCTTCCGCCTGAACAGAAGAACGAACTTCTCTACGAGTTCCAGAGCAGTGATGAGGAGGAGATGTATGATGAAGAAGATGAGGAAGAACAGGCTGCTCCTGCTCAGTAAATTTCTTTGTAAATTGTAACTTATTATTGAAAACAAAAAAATATTTTTTATTGTTTTGATTAACCAATCTTTGTGGATTCTATATTTGTAAGGTAGTTACAAAATCTAAGTAGTGAGGCTCTCAAAAATTGAACCGTACTCCATACAAAATTTGTGTACCCTCACTACTTAGATTTTGTGGCCTTCAATTGAGAGGTTAGTTTTGATAGAGCAAGTTATAAAATTAAAAGGGAAAAATAAATAAAATTTAAACATTTAATTATATATAATGTAAGGAGTGTAATTCCAAATTTTCTAAAAACTATTCAAATTTGAGCATTTTTTTGGAAATAGTAAATCTAATATGTACATCTAATAACAACATGATTCATCACCTTTTCAAGCTCTGCAGTCAATTTTTTGAAATTTGATTGAAATAAATGTAGCAAAAATTACATTTCATTAGGGAATATATGAGTTTCTCTGGAAACAGGCTGATAAATTTTAAATTTTGTCCAATCAACATGAATGCATTGAGAAATTTGGATTGATTTTCTGGTAGAATCTGGAACAATTCAACCATGTATAAATGGATCATGTAATCATCATGAAATGTTAGTGTTAGAGTTCAAAAGAAACAGAATGAGTGGAAATCAAACACAATCTGAATAATTTTAAACGTATACAATCTTTAAGTTTGTATTTTGAATTCTACATATATGATTGTGTAATTCGTTCTTTCAAATTTTCGGATTCAGGCATGTTTTGATAAAATTCATTCCCAAAAACGTCAATTAACAATTAAACTTAGTGTATTTTAAATATATATACGTATTATATTTTATAAATTATATTAAATTCGCAAAATTTTAAGTTTTAAACAAAAATAAAAATGTTCAAAATATGAAATTATGCATAGGATATTAAAATTTACATGTTAGCAATTTTTTTGAATTGCTTTCAATTTTCATATTGAAATTTTTAAGATTTTTTTCTGAAATAATAAGCAAGAATATCAACCTAAATAATATTAAATTCCATGCGTTAATTTCCCCTCAAAAGTCATTGACCGCCTCTCAATCTAGATTTTGTGAGTACTTTATAATTCACAGAAATGCATAAATATAGTAGCTATACACATTACAACATATTACTTAAAGAAATCTCCTATATAATTAACCTCTCTGGTGATATAAAAGGTCAATGTGTCAGCTAGATTAACTAATGAAGAAAATGAAGCGCTTTAATCTGAGACTTATATATACATAGAGACTTAATGATAAGTAAGATGAAATGTCAAATAAGTGAATTCCTGTCTTCATGAAAACAATGATTATAGATCTACATTCTTTAATTTCGTAAAAAAACTATCTATTTTTATTGAAAATTATTGAAATCTGAGCAATGACTATAGCAGGAAATATAATTGGTACTCTAATGCCTTAATTCATGAATGAAATTCCAAAATTAATTCCGTTATCAATTCAAAAAATTGACAATTTTCTGAGATTTACACGGATAATTTATTGAAAGATTTTAATGAGTGAGATTTCATTTTCCAAAGAAGATCTGTTTCAGCCTAGAAAAGAAAGATTTACTGCAATTATGACCAGAAGAAAGAAATCAAAGAGTGGGAAGCCACGATATTATCTTTATACGATGGACAATCAAAATTTAATAATATGCTCAGAATACCATGTAAATACAACAATACCTTTCCGAATTAGCCAAAACATATCCGATTTCAACCCTGAATCAGAAAGTTATCTTGGAAAAATCGAACATTCGGAGCTGAGTAATAAATATACGATATTCAAAAAAGATGGATCTGAAAACAAAATTAAAATAGCTACAACACGCTTCGAACTTAAATTCCATAAGACAACGAACCACGATCGAGAAATGGATATTACGTTATATTCAGATAATGAAGAACCAATACCAGTAAACAGAGAAGAATTTAATAAAATTAAAGAATTGTATCCTGATTTAGAATTTATTCAGTCAATGCAAAATATTTACTTTAAATACGAAGGCAAACACTGCTTATCTCTCGTTCAAATACATCCCGACGAATTTCTTTTGGATATCGATGCACCATTTTCAATTTTTTCAGGGTTTGCTTCATCTTTAACAACAATGGTAAAAATTAAAGGTGAGTAATAAAATTCGTTTACATGATACCAGTTTGATAAATTCAAACGAGTATTTTCTCATATTTATCAAATTTTAATAAGATTTTTCCGATCTTCCCTAAGGAAAATCCTTTAGACTTTTGATCAATGATACCTAGCAGTATTTAAGAAAATATTCAGTATTTTTTAGGCTTAAAATGAATTTGATATCTTAATCATAAAAACTTGTCTTCAATAAAAGACAATTTGCATGAATATCACCAACAAATCCTTCCTTAGAGGAATAATCTTTCTAATTCATTACTCAATTAATCAAACTAAAATTATTAATAAATTGTAATTGTTATGTTATGATAAATGTACTTTTTTAGACTATTCTTTAGATGGTAATTTAATTATATCATCCATGATAGCATAAAGTATTACTCATAATCGAGTATTTGCATTTCAAACATTTGGAAAATATCATTTCTTGTTTACATGTCCAATTAAGCTTCGTCAATTTGATATATTTATTAGTATTATCCTATATGTCAATAATTTATGCTCAAATACTAAATTCAGAACTAAGTTTCTATACAATTCGTCAAATCTCATAAATTTTCTTAAGATTTGGACACGAGATTTTGAAATTACTATATTTGAAGGCATCACTATATTAAAACCATATTAACAAATATACAAAACTTTACTAAAATTAACAATTGCATTAGATATAATTAATATCTGTTCTTAGTTGAATAAAATATATAACTGATAGCATTACTATAATAACTGAAAGTACCGTTATTAAAGAGAGAAGATATATAATTAGATTTCCATGAATACCATTCAAAACTTTTGAATCTAATTTTGTTTGTAGATATCTAACAAAATTAGTTTTTTGAATTTCATATTCTAAGATATAATATTCACCTTGTTGATATATATCACCAGTATATTTAAGTCCCTTTGGATAGTTACCATCTTTAGCTTCAAATACAATATCTTTTTGAATTCGATCATTATTATCATTACAAGAATTAACTGTAAAATAATGATCAGCAAACCCTGGGATAAACTTATCAGTTGCAAAGTAATTAATATTATCAGCTCTTTGCCATGGGATTTCAATTTTTGGTGCTGCATCGCTACACAAAGTGTAAAATTTCGCATAAAGATCCTTGTATATTGGTGTACTATCCAACGAATTATAATCATAAACTACAAATTGATCTTGATATGACTCTGGAACAATTAACTTTGTAAGTCCTTTTTTGATGGCTATTCCATCATGAGTAACAAATCTATCTGAATAAATTGTTTGCATGTCCATAAATACTATATTATCTGGAACTCTATATGTTCCAGAAATCTTTCCATAAGTGAACAATAATACTTTTGTATCTTTCTCGATAAACAAATTATTGATAGCATCATAAAAAGGATGTCCGCCTTCTTCAAATTCAAATTGTATATCATTTGAACAAAGGAAAGAATCCGGGATAATATCTGTAATAATGTTTGGAATTTTGATCTTCTTTAATGATGTGTTGAAGAATGTACAGCTATTAATTGCTTCTATTTTGTCATTGAATTCAAATTTAGTTAATTGAATACAATTCGAAAATGCACATTTCTCAATTGAGCGCAATTCATTTGGACACTTATATTCTTTTATCATTGTTCCATTAAATGCATTTGCTTTAATTAATCGTAAGTTATCAGCAGTGATTGATTCTAAACCGGAATTCCAGAAACTGAACACGTCAATCTCGTAAGCATTTGGCAAATTAATTGTAGTTAGCTTAGAACAGTATGCAAATGAAAACGAAGAAACAGTTAAGACTTCATTGAAAGAAGGGAAATTATATAATGAATAACAGCAACAGAAACAATATGACCCAATATATACAAGATTTGATCCTCTATTAAAGTTGATTTTTTCCAATTTGTAACAGTGAGAAAATGTATCATTTCCTAGTTTGGTTATTAAACCTTCAAACGTAACTTCTGTCAATTCATGACAAAATGCAAAAATACCATCAACTGAAGCTATTCTCCTTGGAATAGTTAACGATGTTAACTTGCTATAAGCAAAAGCAAATGGCTGGATTTCATTAACATTTTCTGGTATTGTAAAAGATGTAGAATCATGTTTAAGGAATGCAATTATCTTAGACTTATCTGAATTGTAAAGAATACCATCTTCAAATTTGAAGTTTGGATTGCCATTACAATTGATTTCAGTTATTGTTAAATTGGGAAAATATTTCAGAGAGAATGAGTCGAGATCATTTCCAAATGTTACTTTTGTTATTTTCGAATTCCAGAAAAGAGTAGAATAAACACAAAAATGTTCATCAGGAACATAATCTACCTTTAATAATGACTGATTTGAGTTTTGGTTGATTTTTTATATTAACATAAGAAACTTCTTGATGAAGTTCTATTATTTCTAAATTGGGACAAGGGAGATCAATTGATATGCTACTTAAAATTGTTAGGTTAACAATTGATTTCATATAAAAATTCGAATGACAATAATCCAGCGTTAGAGATGTAATTGAAGTAAAATCCAATTGATCACCCATTGATTCAAAAGCATGTCTTGAGTTATCAATCATATTTAATTTTGAACAATTATAGAATGCAAAGGTTAAATACCCGAATTGTGGAATATTTATTTCGGTTATGCTTGATTCAGAAAAAGCATAATCTTCAATTCTGTAAGCATGACTTAAATCTATAGATTCGAGCATATAACATTTGTAAAATGCATACGATCCAATAGTTTCAATACGTTCCGCATTTATTGACGTTAAACTAGAGTTTGCAAAAGAATAATATCCAATTTCATGAACATTAGTACCTAAAGTAACCTTTTTTAGGTTAGAAAGATTGGAGAAGCAATAATTTGGGATATTCGTAATACTTTTTGCATTAATTTCAAAATTTGGAATTTGTTCAAACACGTCGAGTCTGTCGAGGCTGTAAATCTCATCACCTTTGATCGTTAATTTTTGAACAAATCGAGTGTTAACAAATTGAAGAATAATTTTATCACGTAAATCTTGCTGCTTCGTAATTTCTAGTGATTGATCGCTTTCTTTATATACTGGTTCCGAGGAGATCTTTACGATTAAATCTAGTAATGAGTAAATGCGAAATTGATGGAGCATTAATTTCACAGTTATAGGACAAAAATTGAATGAAAAACGGTTTTATGCATTTCCACAACATAAAGATCAAATTATATTTTGCTGCTAAATTATGTAACGATTGGTGATAAAAATTCTTTATAATCACTCACATAATCGGAGAGGGAGAAAATTATAACTTGACATAATAAATATATCTAACAGCAATTTAATAACAGATGTATTGATATACAAAATTTGTTTGTGAGCTTATTGAAATCTAAAAGTGAAAATATACACTAAAAATTATACATATATACTATCAGCTGCAATATAGAATTGAATTTGGTTTTCAAAATATAATGGTATAAAATCATCCGCCCACTTTTTGAATTGCATTCAAAAAGTGCAAGAATGGTCCATATTCTAAAGTAATCACCAATAAACCATATTATCGTTCAAAAATAACCTTATTGCAAAAAATTCAATAAGTTTAATTTGAATTTTCTCAAATTAAAATTATAATCTCATCGTCAAATTTAGACATAATACGATTCTATCCATTTCAATCTAGTATTTTTTTTTTGAAAAACTTTTGAATTATTTTTTGAAAACAACCTAAATATGTCCAAAATAATATCTAATTTGAATTTTACAATTAAAGTAAATTTAATAAATTTTTTTTGTTGGCGTAAACTTTTTTTCCCTATGTTCAAAAGTATTTTCTGGAACAGCTTGATTTTCAAACCAATCCATTTAAACACTGAAAACGAAGAAATTAGAACCTTAACAATTACTCAAACGAACGGGTTTAGTCAGGAAACAGTTGATAAAATAATTAATCAAAATTACAACAAAATATTAATCAATTCTCACGATGTTTCACTCAGAGAGTTTGAAGGGTTTAATTACATTTCAGAATTTGAAATATCAGAGTCATCTTCAAATAATATCCCAAAAAATCTCTTTTCAGGAAATTCCAAGATTAAAAAAGTTATACTTCCACCTCAAATTACACAAATAGACCAATTTGCCTTTGCTTATTCAACTTTACAAGAAATAAATTTAGAAAATGTATTAATCATCAAAGAAAATGCTTTTGACAGCTGTCTTCAGTTAACCACTATAAACTTAGATCTAATGGATGTTCCAAATTAAAATCTTTTCCAATTGAGAGAATAAAGTTAATTGATCAAGGTGCATTCTGCTTTTGTTCATCTCTTACTGTAGGAAATGATGTTGTATTAAGTGGTCAACAATCAACATATTCAGGATGCAATTCATTAATTGATATTACAGTTAAAATTGTCGAATTTAATCATAATCTTTATTATAATGATAATACAAAAGCATCTGTCTTTGAGAACTGTATTAATTTAAAAACAGTTACATTTGTTCGTGGAGAAAAAGCAGAAATTCCACCGTTTATGTTCAAAGGATGTACATCACTAACAACAGTTAACTTACATGAAACAATCACGGCAATTTCTAAATATGCATTTGCAAACACTATGATAAAAACTATTGATCTCAAAAATGTTGATACAATATCAACAAAAGCATTTATGAACAGCAAAATTGAGACAATGACAATCAACAGATATACTACGATCGATAACACATCATTCATCGGATGCACTAATCTGAAGGTGATTAAACTTACTGCTGGAGCAAATATTCCCAACAAATATATCTTTAATGATAGTCCATATGCTAAAATTGAGATTGTGGATAGCGCTGCCATTAGTGATGATACACTCATCAAATTTACAAATAATGATACAACTTATAATATTCCATCATCAATTTATAAGATTAACAATTTTGCATTCAAGAATTCCAAAGTTAAAAAGATAACATGCGATCACAAAATCGATTTTGAATGGTGATTTGCAGAAATTGAAACATTAGAAGAAGTAGTATTCACTTCAAATGAAATCACTGAAATACCTCCTTATGCATTTTATAATTGTATCAATCTCAAAAAGGTTGTACTTGATCCTCAAATGCATATTGTGAAATCACATGCCTTTTACAACTGTCAAAGTCTTTCAAATATCAATTTATCACGTTTTAACTTTTTTGATACTTCTTCATTTGAGAACTGCTTATCAATAAAATCAATTAAATTCATGGATATAAAAACAAACGTAAGTATTCAAATTGGTGCACGTGCTTTTTATAATTGCAGCAATCTTATTAAAGTTAAGTTTCCTGACTATTATGTATTTTTGCTTGGCTACTGTTTTGCATACACAGGAATTATTGCAATTCCAAAAATAGTTATATTTGATGAAACAGGTCCTGGAATATTTTCGCACGCTCGCAATTTAATTTACATAAATATGTCATTTGGAACATATGTTTCTGGAACAATTCCTCCTTATGCATTTGAGTACACATCCCTGTATTCAATCAATTGTCCTAATATATATAGAATTTATGATTATGCCTTTTCTCATATCGACAACTTGTTTTATTTTGTAATACCAGCAGGATGCCAATATATATCAGGTAATGTATTTTATCTTTCAGAAAATGTCAAATTTTTCTTGAACCAGTGTAAAAGGCCCAACTTTATAATTGGAGAGCATGAATTAGTTGCAGCAAAAACAAAGAGACTTATTTTGACATATGGAAAATTGCCATCAACTTATGTTATTCCAAGTTTTGTTAGTCAGGTAGGTAAATCTTCAATTCATTCTTATCCAAAATACTCAGAAGATGGAAAAGTTATTGATTACGGAGTAACAACATTAGTTGTTCCACGTGGTGTTATTTTCATCGATTATGATTCAGATACATATTATAATCCGCAAGTAACTTTTTATGATGATTCGGAGCGATATAACAATATGCTTTTATATCTTCAAAACATATGTTATGGAAATGATTTTCAATCTGTTGATATTAATGCACCTTTATTGAAAAACATTTATGTTACAAATACATACCAAAGCAGCTTTTGGTATCAAAATGATAAAAGAATCCCAGTTATCAAGGGCGAATGTGATTCATCAACATCATTTGAAGATTTGGCAAAAGGCAACTATTATGCACCAACAAAGAAAAGTACTGAAGAAGGCCAATTAGTTAAATCAAAGATTATTGACAATACTCGTTGCCCAGTTGATGTTCCAATACCAGATTTACCATCTTTTATTTTCAGTGATGACGATGAAATTCCAGATGATTCAGATATTAACAGTGAAAATCTTACTAACACTACAACAGTTACGTTTTCGATTGAAGATGGCGAACCTAATGAATCATCTGGTCTTTCGTCAATGATTATTATATTGATTGCTGCAACTATTGTTGAAGTTATTATTATTCTTGCACTTATCATTATGATTATAATCAAGCAAAAAGCACCCGAGGATTCAGAATCCACATTCGAATTCAACCAAGAACAAATTGATGATATCTTAATGAGTAACGCAGTTACAGTTACCCCAGCTCTATTTAATACCAAAACTACTGATGATCCTTTCGCCGAAGACTTTGCAGATAGTGATGATGACAATGATCGATTCTACCATACTCCAGAAGAAAATTCAGATAGTATTGATTCATATTAATTTTAATTAAGTTTGTTATAAAAATATCATTTTTAGTAAGACTGATATAACTTAATTTTTTTTTCTTTTAATGAACTATTAAATAATGAATCTTATTATTGTCATGATTACTAATAATAGTATTGCAAAATGACAGATCGCGAGCTACAGTAGTATATGATGCGGGTTGTGTGACTTTTTTTGTAATCGTAAGAATTCTCACATAATTGAATGATTTTTGAACATACTTCCGAATAGCAGATTTTAAAAATTTATGAATAATTTATAAAAAGTTTTTATTCCTACAATTCCTATATTACCATTAATAAAAAGAATATATTTTATAATAGTTTCATTTCGAACATGTTAAAATTTATCTGCATTTCGAAAAATTTTATTATAAATGATAATATAATTTATTAAATTAATATATAACTTATGAATTTTTACTTTTTGTATGAAATAAAATTTAGTATTAATAAAGTTATAAAATAAATTGGTGCATGTTAGATGTAAATAAGATATAAAAAAGGTGTTTATGAATACTTTAGCAGAACTTCTACTGGTAGAGTTTATACTGGCAGAACTTCTACTGGTAGAGTTTATACTGGCAGAACTTCTACTGGTAGAGTTTATACTGGCAGAACTTCTACTGGTAGAGTTTATACTGGCAGAACTTCTACTGTTTCCCTCAAAATTGAATACTTTAGCAGAACTTCTACTGGTAGAGTTTATACTGGCAGAACTTCTACTGGTAGAGTTTATACTGGCAGAACTTCTACTGGTAGAGTTTATACTGGCAGAACTTCTACTAGTAAAGTTTCTACTGGTAGAACTTCTACTGGCAGAATTTCTACTGGTTATATATGGTGTCAATTTTTTTAAAAAATTTTGAATTCAATGAGTTATATCAAAAATAAAATTCTTGAATAGAGTAAAAAAATTTAAATAATTTATTTAAATATTTTCTTCTGACATTTTTGAATAATTTATTTTTTTAATTCGTAAGAAAATGTGTGGATCAAGATTCGTAACCGTCAATCAATTAATGGATGCTCTTTCACCAATTCTTGAAAATGTTAAACAAGTAGATGTTTATTTCGATGATTATGTAGAAAGTTTATATTATAAAGGTAAACATAATATTAAACCCATTGCTTTTGCATTTGATAATAAATTAATTGAAAATGCAAAAATTTGGGAATTAATTCCAGATATTGAATATATAACGAATATAACTAATAAATGGTTCAAACGAATTCCAACCACAAAAGTTCTTTGTAAATTAATGATCAAAACCGAGGCCAAAGAATTTCATGAATTTACATATCATCCAAATAAAGTTTCAGAACTAGAAAATGAAAAACTTCAGAAAAAATTAAACGATAGACTTTCAAATGATCGTATTGAAAAAATAAATAAACTAGCAGAAGTTGCATTTAATAATGAAATATTTGATGAATATAACCTTGAACTCAGTGATGGGCTTTAAGGACCCGGGCTCAACGAGTCATGATTTATGAAATCAATAATTTGATTTATTCGCTCTTCAATAATTTCTATTCTTTTTGTTAAATCATCTATTTTCATTAATGAGGTGATTCTTGATTGAGGAATAGATTTCAAACTAACCACTCCTTTTATTTTTGAAATTTTGAATCCATCAACTTTAAACATTTTATTCAATTTACATGTTGTCAATTCTTCAAATAATTTTTTATTATTAGCATAATAGTCATTAAATTCTTCAACAGATGAAAAAATTTTTATTTCAGTAATTGGTTTAACAACGTTTATTTTTTGTTGAACATTTTCACTTTCATTTATTTCTTCCTCCTCTGTTTCATTTATTTTTAAAATTGGTTTCATTTATCATTAAATAAAAATTAGAATATAAGTGATGAAATATATTTTTTAATTAATATTAAATCAGAAATGGCGGCAGGATTCTTTAAAAAATTATGGGATGGAATTAAGAAAGCTGCGGGTTGGGTTCATAAAAGATTATTAAACCCGTTGCAAACTTTTTGGCACCAGTAGCGAAAACGGCAGGAACTATCATAGGTGGAGTATTAGGTACTAAAGCAGGTAATCCGGCATGGGAGCACAAGCAGGTAACGCAATTGGTGGAATTGCTGAAGGAATACTTAATAAAATAGGAGGTAGATAGTGGAAAAATAAATAAATATTATTTTTATCTTAGTATCGGTTGAAGTCTTTGATAAACTTTTTCTCCTTTATTTAATATTTCTCTTATTGGGGCGCTTTTGGCGTTATTGATTCAGCAACGTCACTAATTGCTTCTTTATTCTTAAATATCCAATTTGCTCCTTTCTTCATTGTTTCCCAAACTTTATGCGCTCCTCTTTTTACTTTATCCCACAGTTTCTTAAAGAATCCTGCAGCCATAGTTGATTATTTCATTAAAATTAAAAATTCATTTTCATCTTTTAATTTTGATTTTTTATTTATTAATAAATGACGACTAACTATTTGGTGCCAAACACTAAACCGATTAATGGAAATGTGTTTCATTCATTCGAAAAGATAAATGAAATATTCGCAAAGAATGACGGTAGAAGATATTATAGAGAACTTGAAAGTTCATGCTATGACTCTGATGCTCCATATTTTGATGATAAACAAACTCATTTAAGAATTACAAATCCGGCTCATGATGTGAACCAATTAGGTGACACATATATTAAACGCAAAGTTAAAGCAACTCTAGTTTCAAATAAAGCTTTCACATGTGATGCCGCTTTTAAATGCATGCGTTTATTCGTTGGTTACAAATCATCAAATCAAAGCTTTAAACAATTAGAAGTAGAAACCGAAAGAGGTGATGCCGGTTATCTTCAGATGGATTGCGCCCGTGAATCTTTCGCATTTGCAACATATAAACCAAAATCAGAAAGGAAAGTTAAAAAGTTTGTTCATTCGTTATATAATAATGTTCAAAAATATGATAACTCAGTATGTGGTAAATATATTGACCCTTCAGAAGTTTTCAAGAAAGCAAATGAAGAAGTTGATGTCACTTTTGATATGATTATTCCGGTAAATGATTTGTTAGCATTTCAGGCGTTCGATGATTATCCTAAATCATTTGGTGAAATCATTCTTAAATATTATGTTTTCAGGGATACTTTAGTATTTTGTCAGGTTGACCCGTTAAGAGTTGCTGATTTACAAAATTACGTTTATGAAAAGATAACTGATGAAAATTATGAAAAGATTATGAATCATGTTTATAAATATGATCGCAAATTCCAACAAATCGGACTTCCTGCCAAATTAATTACAAGCTTAGCCGCTACATCTGCTGACGCAACAGTTGATAACGTTATTATTTCATGCACAAAGATGGAAGTTTTAGAGGATAAATGCATTACACCAGGATACGGTTTAATTGAAGAATCAGTTAAAGCAATACCACGTTTATTCAGTAAGGAAGATCCATTCATGATTCCAGCTCAACATATTGACGTTCGTTCACTAAATGGAGGTTGCATCACTCCTGAAGGTATTAGCTCAGATTTCTCATACGCTCTTCATAATGTTACAGATGTTGTGTTAACATTTCCGAAGAATGCAATGCAAAGAACAGTTTTAGAAAATCCAATGCTTCGAGGTCTTCAGGTCACTATAGATTCCAGAAACTTCCCCGATCAAGCGATGACCACAGTGGGTGACATATTCTTTACACGTATGCTTCAAGCTTCTGATTTAGATGGAGTGAATGAATGCACAGAAGAATACGAGGACTCATTAACTAGACCACTGAATGATGATAATGGCACACCATTAGCTAGAACATGGAAAGACCAAACTTCATTCTTATGCACTATTCCAGTTCAACGTGATGGAGCGGGTATATTCTTTGATGGATTAGAAACTTTCAACTCACAAGTTACAGTACAAGTGAAAGCTTATCCAATCATTCAGGGTGAAAATGACACTTACTGTTCAAAGGTGACAAATCCTCCTCAGGTTTGGTTTACTAGGACTACATATTGGACATGGACACCGGATGAAGGTTTGAAATATCATCCAACAGGTACACCACCACAGTATAGAAGTTCATATGATGAAATATTGATGAATAGAAATGTTTAAAATTATAAATTTATTTTTGATTAAATGGATTTAAATTCTGAAGAATTAGCAGTATATAATACATACATAGATGATATGATTAATGAAGCATTGAGTGATAATAGAAATGCTCTATCTAAGGAAAAATTAATGAAAATTCCATATTCTGAATGTTACTTAAATTCAATCACTGCAGCAATTGGTAAACAAAATAAAGGTAAAACATTAACGATATTAAAACAAATTATCATTATTGCTAACACTTCCCCCTATTCACATGTGTTAATTTATATCAACCGTTCAGGTTCACCTTCAGATGATACATTTGAATCTTTAAAGCATTTAATCAAAATTCCAATTATTTATTTATCACAAGAAGAAGCAGAAGATTATTTAAAAAACTTTTTAATGTATAAAGAATTATATAATACAATCAAGAAGCAAGGATTAGAGGATAAAATTATTGATAAACAACGGGATGAATTATTTGAAACACTTTCTATTTCAAATTTTGATAAAGAATTTTTGCATTCACTAATTTTTCTAGATGATGCCGTGAAATCAAAACTAATAACTAATGAGAAATCATATTTTAATCAATTATTAACTCAATGTCGACACATTCAGTGTTCATTCTTTATGGCTGTTCAATACTTTCAAAGCATTAAGCACAAACATTAAATCAAATCTATCACTTTTCATTTTCAGTGGTTTTAGTCGTCAACAGTTGAACGTTATGCTTTATCAAGTGAATTTACCAATGAGCATTAATGAACTTTACACACAATATCAACAATTAGGAAACATGGAAAAATAATAGTTGATTTAAATAAAGGAAGTGTTAAATTTGATTAACTTTTTATAATTAATTTTTATTTTTTATTTATAATTAAACATGACAGAAATAGCAAATCTTCTACAGG